CCCCTAAGTACAACTACTTGATTTTGAATTGTTGACAATAAAAAGGTACTTAAATATTCATTCTTCTACTATTATTCTGAGTTTAAAAAACTTGCTTACAATTCCCGCCCGTGAATAAACATTACATTTATTGTTTTCGTGTCTCTCCATTTGCATCTTTCTCGGTTTTAAACTGAGAAATAATTAAGGAAACTAATAATGACAAATAAAAAACAAATGAAAAGTAGTTAATCTAGTTTTGTAAAAACAGATCCAATATTTGCAAAAAATTGAACAATATTCTCTCTCTAGTCAAATACACACGCTTACTGTATCATTTCTTTCCTGATAATTAATAAAGATTATGTACAAATTAACATAAAGAAGGCTTATGTAATTTCTTTTGTTCACATTATTTTTTAAAAAAATTTTTAAAAAAAAACATACTAAAATAAAATAGTTACGAACTTGCTTTTGAAGTTAAGGAAGTTGTAACGGAAAGGAATTTTTTTGTTAAAAGTATGGGATTAAGAGCTCACGCGTCTCGTTTGGTCATTGGGTTCACTGACAAATCAGTGATATACATTATTATTCTATAAATTAATTCATACACTTATTTCAATATCGAGTCATTTATTAACTCCTACTCTCCGGTTTATTTATTTTCTTAATTGTAAGTAGTTGGTAAGATGGCTTTATGTTCACTCCAAAACTACAGTTAATAGTCTCTTTTCCTTTGTCGTTTATCTCGATTCTCAAGATAACCACTAAACAAAAATTATACTCCTACTTACTAAGCTACTACAATTGCCTTAGTTTGTCAATGGTCCATTATATGGACTTTAGACAAATCACATTGAGACACAAACAACTAAAGGAAGAGACATATAAGTTTGTGTAAAAGTAGTAATCTACTCTTAGAGAGTGAGTTTTGTTTGTTACTTTGTTGTGTCTTTCGAATGCATTGGGAAGAACAACACCAACACAAAAGAGTAGAAGAATAAGAACAAGATTTAGGAGGCATATAACTTGGTGAGATCATCAGAGAACTCCTTCTTAATTACATCTCTTTTAAGCTTTAGAGCTGCTGTGACTAAGCCTGATTCTGGAGTCCATGGAGAAGCCAACAATTTGATCTTTGCTGGTATCTCAAACTTCTCCAATCGCGATTGTTTAGCCGCCTGCAAACACACATCACATTTATTATAAGGAACTGAAATCGATGGATAGTAAAGCGTTTTCATTGGGAACCCCGGCCCTGAACACACCTTGACAAGAGACGCGTACACTTCTTTCACGGCTTGTTCTTTCGTGCACAGCTCTTCGAAGTTGGCAAAGTCTATTCCTTGCTTTGTGGCCCAACCTTCAAGTGTATGTTGGGCTGCGACCACAAGAGCCACACAGTAACTGTAAAATGGATCAGCATGAACCATTATATTCTCAACGTAGGGACTTATACTGAGAACAGCTTCAACCTGC